TGTCTCAACAGATCAAGAATTTCGTAAGGGACACGATTGCAAAAAAACCACGCGACGGACGGGGGGATTTTTGGACTCTATGACCGCGGGTTCAATCCCGGCCGGGGGTATGGTTTATGTATGCTCGTGTGTGAGTACTCACCTATTTGTGTGTGTGTGTGTGTGTGACCCAACAATTAATATTTGCACTAATAACTCATTACAGTTGTGACCGGGTGTGGATTTGTGTATTGCTCATTACTTTATATTTCGTTCATGATTATAGCCATGTATAAACGTAAGAAAATTTATTTACATGATTCATTACCTTTGTACCTTGTTCAGCCCAGTCCCTGGACCCATTATGTACCACTGTAATCTGTAAACACCTTTGTAACTTGTCATGATTGTGACCAGATCTACCTGAAGTTCATTACCTTTGTACCTTGTTCAGCTATCAAACCCTGGAGTCATTATGTACCTCTGTAATCTTTTGGCTACAGCCCAGAGGATGGGTATGGGGTGCATAATGAAGATATTAAACTAACTAACGATGTTGTCAACAACAACTGTGTCCCCAAACTTGACTGTTACTGGGAGGCGTGAGGCCATGATAGTCGACATGATGATATCATGCATACTACTGTCTTCCTCCAGCTCACACAAGCTCTCTACCAGCAGCTGCACTCTTGGGTTTTTCTCTTGGTGGTCTAGGAGGAAACAAATAAAGGCTTCAGGCGTCAGGGCAATGTTGGTGATACTGAGACTTTGCAGATGTGGTAAGATAGATAAGGCATCTCTCAGTTTGTGCATAAATCTGCTGCTGTACTCTATAACCTCGCATACGAACCAATAAGGCTTTGTAATGCCCGATATCATCAAGTGTTCTAGGGAATCAGGGAAAACCAGGTCTCCTGTCACTGCATAAGAGTAAATTTTTAAACGTTTTACTCCTGGTGGGATAAATGCCAGGTTCTTGAATTCACAAGATTCTATTACAATAGTCTTAACAGTTACAGGTAAATGTGGCTTGTCAAGACTCATGCTTTGAAAGTATGTGTTTAAAAAACTGGAGGGAAAAGTAATGTATTCCAAACCAGTGCATTCTAACAGTGACAGCTTAAGTAATCCAGAAGGAAGATGAAAGTCAGCCTTTATATGACACCTGTCTAGTGATAACCACCAAAGATTTTTGGGCCATGACAGAGAGGAAGATATGGTCACATCAGTCACCCTCAGATCTGGAAGAACAGCATCACCATAGGCTTTGTTTACTAAGTTCATCGCTGCTACAGCATCCCCCTCCAGTACCTGGTGGCCACGTACTAGAATCTCTTTATCTGCATGTGGACCTTCACACAGCCGAAGGAGGAGTCTCTGTGGTTTTGCTTGTGAAAGAAACAAACGCAGCGCTTTAGTATGTCGAAGTTCCTTTGGTCGTAGCCACAGTTGACCATTAAACAAGTATTTGGCTGTTGTACTTGAAGCTGTTGGAAGCCCAGTTGAAGTGGCACTTGGGCCTCCAAACATTTCTTTGGCCAGAGCCTTAATGAGAGCAGTGTTGTAGCTACTCTCCTCTATGAGTTCCAGAAGGAAATTAATATCATAAAAGTTTACATATGCCTGGGATAGTTTTGCTATATCTTTTATCATCAGGGTATTGACGTTTTCGTCCCTGTTAAACAGAAGGCTTGCAAGAAATAAAATAATAGATTTCTTTCTATCCTCCTGGAAATCCTGAAAAAGACTTGTCAGTGTTCCAGTTCTGCTGTTCCGAAGAGTTTCTGAAATGTTGTATGCTGCAAGAAAGTTGGCATGAGAGTTATGAACAAACTGAAAAACATTGTATTCTCCTTTTTCTGTCATGTAACTATCACATTGCATGAGAGAAGAAAGTGCCTCAAATGGACGAAATTTGAGCTGCTTGGCACTTTCTATCAGTTTTTGAATATCACTGGAACTTTCACTAAGGGATGTATGGTTATTCTTGGCTTGTGTAAAGGCCACACGAGCCACAACACTCAGCCAACGCTGACCTTCTTTTGGCAATGCTCCAGCAATGATTCTTTTGCCATTGATGTGACATAGTTTTCTTAAAAGAAAATCTGTTATTTTGGCAAAAACTTTTCCTCTAGTTAAGAAACAATCATTGCCTTCCTTCATCCAAAACAAGGAAGACCAGCACAAGAGCTGTGGAATAGCTATCAGTTCCTCATATGGTGAGGCAGCATTGAAGAACTCCTTTACGTCGTCTTTACCTTGTGCTTTGAAGAGTTTAGTAGCAAAGTCAAAGGCGCTTGAGCGACTGAAGCCGTGGGCCGTCACCACCACAGGCTTCTCCTCGCACAATTTAGTAAAGGACAATTTTGTCAATGGGGCTCGTTTGTCACACAAGAGGGCTTTGAACACTTCTTCTGGAGGTCTTTGAAAGAATTCATGAAGGCTAAGCTTTCATCGGAGGCATCATAAAAGAACATACTTTGTCCTGAGCTTCGCAGTTCTTGGGGAATGATTGAAGGTTTGCTAAGTTGTAAGTGTTTGGGAGAATTTCTTGATTATTCGAGAGTGTAAAGGTTCCTAGCGACTGCTGTACAGTTAGAAAAACAAGTATTCCACCCTGTGGACTGAATGTTAGTTGTGTTTTGGGCCCCCAGGAGCAGCATAGTGGCGGAGGAGAGAGGTCTTGCCTGTCCCAGTCTCTCCTGAAGTAATTTTCATCTGATGAGCAAGTTCTCAGCATGTTGCTACCATCCATTTCATCATCACCTGTGGGTGTAGATTCAAACAGTAGTAGACACAAAAACACTACAAGTTAATGAAGAAATTCCCAGAGCTAAGTTATTGATCTTAATAGACTGTAAAGGATTGGATTTACGCTTGGTCTGGGGGGGAAACAAGACCAGAAAAGGGCAAATATGACATTTGAGCCCATCTTAAGTATCCCTAAAGGGGCCTTTAAATTATTGTCTATTTTTTTTTCATTTTTGTTCATCTTTGAAGATGGATCTTTAAGTAATTGCCTGAATATTTTTTAATTTTCCTTTTTTCCTCCAAATTTCACTCATAACACAAGAATTCCTCATCTGGCTGGCTTCAATTTTTTAACACTAGTGTATGGTAACTAGGGCAAGAGTCATGCAACTATCGGGATGTGCAAGTGCTCAATGACCAAAGTTGCACAATCCATTCCAAGATTCCAAGAATAGGTCATTAAATTAACAGCCTCTGCTGCCTGGTTTCAAATAGTAGACCCCCAGATTTCGTAGTCATTGGATTTCGTAATATTCGGAAATAGTAATTTTTTTGGTCAAAATACTGGCTCGGTGATCGTCATGGAGCTCAGTAATAGTCATTTGTCCCGAACCCATACCCACAGCAACAGCGACCCGACACTCAGTGTGCCATTGTTTATCAGCCAGTGAGCACGATCCCACATGTTCATATGATACATTTCATATTATTCCATTCTTTTTAGTGCTAGTAACTGCTAAATAAGCTACCATGGGCCCCAAGGAAGTTTTCTAGTGCCTGCCAGCCTTTGGTAAAGGGCTGATTCTGCGATATGTACGATACTAAAGTAGCAGGAGTTGATAAAGGCTATAGCACCAGCCAGCGATAAAGTGTAGCATTAACAGTGTAGCAAGTAAGTTAAGCGATTAATTGATAGAAAAAGGACAGCACGAAACTGACTCCTCCAATGTTGTTGGAGTTATGTAGGGAGACTGACAACACCGCCATCTCTGCTGCCGCCATCACCAACACTATGTAAGGCTTATCTTTCAGTGGCCCTTATACACCCAACAACATCAACCCATCATCACTCGCCACCTACATAATGACATATTTTATTCATTTTAGAGTATATATTCTGTTTTTATGCTATTAATATTGTTTATTATGTCATATTAGATGAACTCTGCTAGATAAATAAGCCGTAGAGTTGATATTAGTGTCATATTACAGGACTATCTTGTCCTGCCTCCCAAGACTCCCCTGCCTCCGCCACAGTTCCTAACATATACCAGAAACAAACCTCTCTGGAACACTTTTAGAGCAACAGGGGTCCAGTGACTCTCAAGCTGGTCCTAGTGGCACTAAAAAATAAAGAAGGGAAGTAACCCCAGAAAAGGACTTGGTACCTGAAGTCTTTATGGAAGGGGGTTCCCCTTCCAAACAACAGTAACTCTTCCTTCCTCTCCCCTTCTCCCGTCTTCCATACATCAACAAGTCTTCAACAAAGGTAAGTGTCATTTTATTATTGTTTTATTCTGTATGTCTCACTATTTTCTATGTAAAAAATTTTTTTTTTTTAATACTTTTGGGTGTCTGGAATGGATTAATTGGATTTACATTATTTCTTATGTGGGAAAATGAATTCGGAAATTGTCAGACTCGGGTTTAGTCACTCTCTGAGGAATGGATTGATTACGATAATGGGGGGTCCACTGTACTTAACTTTGATGACAGCAGAGTAAAAAATGAATACATAGGTGCCGTCCTCCCACTTTTATGTGTTAAACGTGCGACATTTGAGTCTGTCTCTTTTGAATGGCTTTCAGTTTTTAATGTATTGTATTTAGTGAAAGTAGTAGAAAATAAAAATTTAATTTAATAATAATTTTTTATTTCTATAAGTACAGGTAAAAGGTTTTACAGACCTAGCTGACATAATGAAAATTACTTCCCGGAGAGGGGTTTCGGGGATTCAAGGCCCTGTGGCTGGTCTGGGGCCCAGGCTATGTTGTGGATCGGCCTAATAAACCGGGCCCTATTGTGTGGCTGCATGCAAATTAGGGGGGGGTTTGGCGAACCACGGTTTGGGGTGGGTTGGGGTACTGTTTTTTAAAGTGCCGCACAGCGCTTTTTTGGAAGACAGCCAGGGGTCAAATTGGGTAATTTTATGTATGCTAAAAGGGTGTGGAACAGTTTTGGGTTTCCCTGACAATTGCGTGTTTTCTCAGTATCGTGGGGGCCCTTGCTTTTTGGGAGAGTGTTTGAAAGCCTGCCGGTCTTTTTGTTTTTTTGTGGTGTTTTTCAAAAGGAGAAATTTGGGACTAGTCCCTTAGGATTTTCCAAATATACCCTTTATGTCCCTTTCTTCCCTGAAATCCGGGGGAATACAATAAGGGACTTAAACTGTTCTAGTAATTTATTTGGGTTTTTCCCATATTAAAAAAAACCCTTTTTCCCCCAGAAAGTTATCTGTACTTTCCCCAGGCTAAAATTTTTGTCTGAAAGGGCCCCTTAGGGGACAATTTTTTCAACCTAAAAAAACCCAACGATTTGAAAAAAATCGCCCAGGGGCTTGGCACCCCTGGGTTTTAAAAGGTTCATTACCCAATCCTATCTTTTTTCCTAGAGGGGGACAAAAACATTTTTGTGATTTTGAAAGTATGATCTTGCCCTTTAAAAATCACTCCGATTTACATTTTTAAAAAAGCTCTATTGTCCCGGTTTGGGAATTTGTTTTATATTAAAATTCAGTTTTGGGTTTCCCTTCGAGTTTTCCATATCGGAGTAATTGAAATTTGTCTTAAATAAATTTAATTTTGTTTTTTTGGGGCCCCTTTTAAAAAAGTTTTGGTTGATGTCGGTTGGGGAGACTTGCAGGTCTTCGATGGATGAGGGTGTCATGCAAAATTGGGGTTCATCAGTGCTGGGGCTTACATTTCGTTCTATGTCAGGTAAAGATGGGGGAAAGGTGGGAGCGGTACTGTCCCTTGGGGAACAGGTTTTTCCCACTGTATTCCCTTGGGATTTATTTTTTTTATTTATTACTCTTTGGTTCTGTTTGTTAGTAAGTTTTTAAAATCCATTCCCCAAATTTTTCCCCTGTTATTCCTTTATCACACAGTTTGGTGCTGTTACCCATAAATTGCACTTGTTTAAAGGCTTTAGCAAAGCTGTGTATACTACTCCGCATTGAGTTTTTTTCCATAGCATCCAAAAATTTTTTCATATTTGGGCCAGTAGTTGGGTTTGGTAGGAGTGGGCCCGGTCCCCAAAACCCCTGTGCCCAGGGGGTTTTTTGTAATGTTGGGTATTTAAGTGGTTGTAATCTTGCTTCTTAGAACCATTTTAAAGATTATTATGATGTGGGACATTTTGTGTAATGGGCTGTAATTCTTTTCAATTTTTCTTTCTGCCCCCTTTGTGGAAATGGGGCTTTGTTATTTATTTCTGAACGGGTTTACCCTGTGTCCTTTTCCCTCTCCCCAGAATGCTAAAGGGGAATGGGAAAAGGGGCATCTTTCAGTTCTTGAACACGGAAATTCCCCAAGTCTGGGGTTGGGGGGAGATTGCATGGGCAAAGTAAATTTTTGCCTTTTTTTTTTTCAAACATTTTGAGCAAATTTGATCAAGTGTTTCACCCTTTTCAGTGTTTCACTTTTTCAAATGTTTCATTTTAAAAGGTTTCAAAATTTTCGTGTTTTTGAATGGGACTTTGGTTTTTTATTTATACCCATTCTTATTTTTTAGGGGCTTTACAAAATTTCCCCTTTCTACTATAAGTTAAAGGGTGGAGTAGTTTAAAGGGAAGTTTAAGTGTGTACTGTTATGCATTTTGTAGGCCTAAATCTATTGTCCCCTTTAAAATTTTAAAGTGTAAAAATATTATTTAAGCTTTTATATGCATTTTAAAGTGGAAAAAAAGACATGATTCAATTTACAATGGTTTTTTTTTACCCGCGCAGCCCCGAACCTAATTTCGGGATAAGCAGGGCCCAACCCGGAGTTAAATTTTTTTTTTGGGAAATTTTTAGCCTCCCTGCTATTTTTTTGGGAATGCCTTTTTTTTTTTCAGTGAACTTTTTAAACCCCGGTTTTGTTTTCAGCAAAAATTCCAATTTGCCAATTTGATTAAAAAAGTGATACTGATTTCCATTTAATAAAGCTATGCCTCTTCTGAATTTTAAAATATTCCGCTGATATTTTTAAAAAAGTATGATGCCCCCAAAGTTTGGGAAAAAATGTAGCTGCAGAAATAAAAAAATTTACTGGGGAAAATTTTGGGAAAAAAAAAAGAAAAATTTTGGATATAATAACTTGGGAAACCCATATTATACTTTTCTCCCTTGAACTTTAGTAAAATTTTGGTAAACAAATTATTTAACCTAAAAAAAAAGCAAACAATGAGGTCCCAAAAAAAATAATAAGAACCCTTTTACTCTTTTTTGGGTAATCCTTTATCATTTTTCACATGTATGTAATTGTTTTTGTGTACCTGTCCCTAAATAAAAATCACCCCTCATTAAGAAAATGTGAATCAGGTGTGGGGTAAGGAAACCACCCCTTTATTAAAAAACTGTGAAACAGGGTGCTGGGGGTAAGTAAAAATCACCCATCATAAAGAATGTGAATCTGGGGGCTGGGGGTTTTAAATAAAATCACCCCTCTTAAGAACTGTGAATTGGGGGGGTGTTAAATAAAATCACCCATCCCCCAAGAAAATGTGAAAATTTGGGGCTGGTTTTAAGTAAAATCACCCCTTTATTAAAAACTGTGAAATTTGGGGTGGGGGTAAAATAAACTACCCCTCATAAAAACAGTGAATTGGTGTGGTGTAAATAAACTCCCCCATAAAAAAGAAATGGAAAATTTGGGGCTGGTTTTAAGGGAAACTCACCCCTCATAAAGAACTATGAATTGGTTTGGGTAAGTAACTCCCCCTCATAAAGGGAAATGTGAATCTGGTGCTGGTTTTAAGTTAAATCCCCTTTATAAAGAACTGTGGGGAATTTTGGTGCTGGTTTTAAGTAAACTCCCTTTATAAAGGAAAATGTGGAAACTGTTGTTTGGGTTAAATAAAATCACCCATCATAAAAAACCTTTTTAATCTGGTGCTGGGTTTTTAAGTTAAAATCACCCCCATTTAAAAAACTGTGAAACTGGTGCTGGTTTTTAAGGTTTAAAACACCCCTCATTTAAAAAATTTTGAAAATTTGGTTTCGGTGTAAGTAAACTCACCCCCATAAAGAAAATTTGAATTGGTGCTGGTGTAAGTAAAAATACCCCTATTAAGGGCTGTGAAATCTGGTGTGGTGTAAGTAAACTCATCTCCACTGAATGCTAAAAGGGACTGGGAAAAGGGGGTCTTGCCGTTTTTGATGAACACGAAGTTCCCCAAAATCTGGGCTTGGGGGGATTGGAGGGGGATGTTTATTTATTGCTTTTTTTTCCGCATTTTGAAACAAATTAGTCGTTTTGTCCCCGGATGGGGTCTATACAAATCAATAACACCCCCGGTATACATTTTTTTTGAGGGGTGACAAATGGCGCAAGGGATTTTAAGGGAAAAATGTCTAATGTTTTTCCCGCTGTATTGGGGGGGTGCCCGTGGAGCTCAGTGTTTTTAAAGAGTGCGCTAGTGGGTGAGCTAGAGATGATCACATTATGACCAGGTTTGTACCCATTAAACTTTGTATGCAAACGAATTTTTATTAAACTAAAACAAGGTAGGCCCCAATTTTCAGTTTTTTACTTTTCAGTGTTTCCTTTACGTGTTTTATTTAGTGTTTCACTTTACAGTGTTTCACCCTTTTCAGTGTTTTTCTTTACAGTGTTTCACTTTACAGTGTTTCACTTTACAGTGTTTCACTTTACAGTGTTTCATTTACAGTGTTTCGAATGCATTGGGCCCTTTTTTTTTACCCCTTCTTCATTTTTTCAGATTTTCCCACATATATTCCTGTTTCTAAAAAGCTAAGGATGGAAATTGTTTAAGGTAAGTAATTGTGGTAATGTATATGCATTTTGGGAGGCCCAACTTATTCTCCCCTTAATATTTAATAGTGTAAAAAAATTATCAAGCTTTTATAAAGCATTTGAAAGTGAGGGAAAAAACCCCGATTCAAATTTTCAGTGATTTTTACTTTAAAGCAGCAGCCCCGAACTAACCCGCTGTATAAGGGAGGGCCCACCCGGAAATTAAAATTTTTTTTTGGAAATTTTTAAACCTCCCTGCTATAATTTGAGAAAGCCCCTTTTAGTGAACTTCACCCTTGGGGTGGGTTTTTCCCGCAAAAATTCCAAAATTTCAAAATTTTATTTAAAAAGTGTTTTGATTTCCCTTCACTAAAGCATATGCCTCTTCTGAAATTAAAAAATTCACGCTGATATTTTTAAGGGAAATATGATGCCCTATAAGTTTGGGGAAAATTTGTGGCCCGATTATAAAAATTTTCTGAAATTGTGAAAAAAAAAAGCAAAATTTCTGGATAATAATTTAAATTGAATCCCCTTTTATACTTTTCTCCAGTGAAAATTTGCTAATTTTGGATAAAAAATTATCCAAATAAAAAAAATAGCAAACAATGAGAGTCCACAAAAAAAATAAATAAGTAACTTTTACTCTTTTTTTGGGGAATCCTTTATCATTTAAAAAATGTATGATTAAATTTTACTTATGTGTACCCGTCCCTTTAAAAAAAACTCAACCCCTTTATTAAGAACTGTTTAATTTGGTGCTGGTGTAAGGGGGAAAAACACCCATCATTAAGAAAATGTTTAATCAGGTGCTGGGTTTTAAGTAAATCACCATCATTAAGAACTTTTGAATTGGTGCTGGGTTTTAAAATAAACTACCCCTCATTAAGAACCCGTTTAATTTGGGGTGGTTGGGAATAAGGAAAATCACCCATCATTAAAAAACTGTGAAAATTTGGGGCTGGTGTAAGTAAACCCCCACCCCATCATTAAGAAAATGTGAATTGGTGCTGGTGTTTAAATAAACTCACCCATCATTTAAAAACTGGAATCTGGGGTGGGGTTTTAAGTTTAAAATCACCCCTCATTAAAAAAACTGTGAAAATTTGGGGCGGTTTTAAGTAAAATCACCCCTCATTTAAAAACTGTGAATTGGTGCTGGGGTAAGTAAATCACCCATATTAAGGGAATGTGAATTGGGGCTGGGGTAAGTAAAATCACCCCTCATTTAAAACTGGGGAATCTTGGGGTGGTGTAAGTAAACTCCCCATCAAATTAAAATGTGGGAAATTTGGGGTGGTGTAAGTAAAAACCCCCCATTTTTAAGAAATGTTGGGAAACGGTGTGGGTTTTAAGTCTTGCTGAGTGGGGGTGATAGTTTAGTCCCTTTCCCGGGCCCCTAAGAGAGGCAACGTGTTGTCTTGGGTTATTTTTCCCGTGGGGTCCGAAACTCATTTCCCGGGTCTTTTTTTGAAGGGGGTGAAAATTTCCTTTAGGGGTCCCCTTTTTTCAGATCTTATTAAAGGTTCAATTTTAAATTTTAAATAACATTTTACTTCTATTTTTTTTTTTAAAATTATTTTAAAAATTACATAAGAATCACATTTTGTAGTTTAATTTTTACATTGACTGTTATGCACTTTTTATTTCCTACCCGTATTTTCAGATGATGGATTTCTGTGTATTTTTAAGGAGCAGTGAATCGAGACAAGAGCAAATGAGGACTAAGTTTTCTTGCAACGGGAAAGTTCCCCTTGCAACGACCAAAAACCTCTTGCAACGACAAAACTTTCTTTTCAACGACAAAGTTCTCTTTCAACGACAAAATTTCTCTGCAACGACAAAGGGTTCTCTTTCAACGGACAAAGCTTCCTTTTTCCCACCCAAAGCTTTTTCTTGCAAAGACAGAAAAGCCCTTTTTTGGGAACGACAAAGCTTCTCTTGCCCAATTTGAGATTTAAAAGAGCTTTTTTTTTGAGCTAGAATACAGTATGAGACTAATTTTTTTTTATACAGGCTTAATGGTATTTAAACCCGGGAACCCGTTTCCAGCGGAAAAAAAAAACTCATTTTTTTACTTGAAACGTCAGGGAAAAAAATAAATTCTGTCTTTTTGTGTATTCTTTTTAACTTATTGGTGGGGCTTGGCTTATTTTATTTACTTTGTATTAAGCTCTAAATCAGTGTGGGGTCATTTGGGTCAATCAGCACAAAACACTGTGAAGGCTCGATCCTCCTTCCACTAATCACAAGATATACCTGCTATTTAACTGTTCTCAGAATGCTGTTTACGTATATGAGAAAAAAGAAAAATTTGGCAAATAACCCTTTTTGATTTTGATAATAACTCTGCTCTGTTGTATGCTTCTGTAATTTTGGGATTGTACTGACTGAGAGGCACTCACTTTGTAGGTACATCACGGATGAGTGAATAATGTCTTTCAGTTGTTGCATGATTTTGGGCTGATGTTTGGTAAGGCCACCCAGGTGGAGGACGTTTCTTACAGCCTCAACCAGCTGCATCCAGGTGGTCTCTAGATCATCTTTAGAGCAGGTCGTTTGTGTCCAGTGAGCATCCTCATTCCGTAGATCACGCAGCTTCTGAATATTCCCTATAAATGTGATGCCTTTATAGGTAACAAAAATTAGTCCTCTAGAGGTGGTGGTCAGACCTAGAGCTGCCCACATGCTCAGCTTCAATACAGAGTCAGAGGTTGGTCCTAAGAGATGAGTTGAGAGAAGATAAGCACTAATGAGAATACTGGAATGAAGACCCCAGCTATGTATCCCTGACTGTAGTTAACTGCTACACTATACAGCCTTGCTATGCCTCGTTATACAGTTTGTCCCCTCAAGGAAGGTTCCTTGATGTTGGTGAGGGGCTCTTGATTTAGGGAATTGGATCTGTGCTCCAGTTCCCCGAATTAAGCCTGAATGCCTTCCACATCCCCCCCCCCCCCCAGGCGCTGTATAATCCTCCGGGTTTTGCGCTTCCCCTTGATTATAATAACAATAATATCCAGTTTGTGACATCATGACTGCCAGACTGCAATCATCCTTGGACCATTAACCAGTGTGTCTAGTTAATGTTCCAAATCAGACCGAGCCAAGTCAAACCAACATGTCATCATAAGTTTTAGTGTCCTAAGTGTGGGTTATTTACGCAATTATCCAGTCCTGACCATAGAGATGAAATCACAGGATCCCCATCAGAGGGTCTTAACAGTACCCCCAATTGTACATCACTGATCCTCTTTCAGCAGCCAATGATAAAACCCTGTGTCTCATTTTTCTTAACAAATATTCTGATCACATGAGGTGGATTCCGATCACAGCCAAGAGTGGCCAGATACAATATGCAAAAAGGAACTATTGCAAGTATTAAAAAAAAATTCAATACAGAACAGATGAGACTGTCATGCAGACACAAGAACTTGCAACATAAAATAATTAAGAAACTTTTATAACCGTTAAAACCTTCCCCCCCATATAGATGAGATAAGATCCTTACAATTGGATTAATCTTAGTACACTGTACAATTACTGTGAATGCATTTTATACACCTTATTTTCCGGTATATAAGACGCACGACAAGTATCATAACGATAAATCGGTAATTGTATGCAAGGGCTAATTACTCTTACTGTAGGATAAAGCGTAACTAAAGGACTACCCTTCGCCTTAAGTCTGACCTTGAGCATATGGCACAAGGTGATTTTCCAAGTTTTTTTGTGGGAACAAAAGGCGCGCCTTATATTCTGAAAAATACAGTAATCATGGGAGGTAATGAGGTGTGATTCAGAATAGGGTAACTTCAGTTCCTCAGATAAAGAGCCCTTTGTAAGCATTCCTTCTTGTCCCTCCATCCTACCCTGAAGGGTTCTATGAAAGAAACTGAACTTATCTTTTAATCTGCCAGATGACACACTTGCAAAACATACTCACACAGCCCAACTATATTTTAACTGCTCACCTTCTAAACTAAAGGGATTTTTCCACATCTTATCATTGGTTGACAGCCCACATCCATAACGCAGCAAAATGCCAAGGGCTGACACGTCCAGCTTGTCCACAATGTTCTCCTTGATCCTCTCACTCATTTGAGGATTACGCTTGAGCAGTGTACGAGCCAGCCGTGAGCGTTGAGTACATCATAAGGCCGTGTGTTAGGGTGTGCCATGGGGAATCTTTGTTATATGGATAATCAAGGTTAATATACTGCAGTAAAAGCATGCTGACCTATTTCGGTACAAAATAATATGTTCTAATAATAAAAATACTATTAAAATTTTTTATGTAATAATACTGCATATTACAACTGAAGCGCCCTCCGTCAATTAATTCCTGCCTCCCCTTCCCTCCTTCCAAAGGGAAAACAGTTTACAACATGAAAACTTTCACAATATCCCCAAGTACATGATAGCTTTCACAATAACCCTACGGCATGAAAGCTCTCACATACCCCTTAGTGCATGGTAGCTCTCACACTATCCCCAAGTGCATGACAGTTATCACCTTTCACGATAGAGGAGCGCCAGCGCATCTCTAACTGAGGTCTTGAGAGCCTGGCTGATACACTGACGCAGGTTAATTGCGTCCTTGTTCTGCTCCTCCTCCTCACATTCCATACCACCTGTAGCTCCTTCCTCCATTCTGTTTTACACGAAACGTCATCAGAAACATGTATGACATGAAATATAAATAAGTGAAAGTCGTATAACAAAAAATAAATTGTAATAAATATTTTTTCATATTGTTGTGTCTCTTAGCAATGATACACAAAAAATGGAGAGGTTGATTAAATAGTTTTGGGGGGAGACATACCTGGGATAATTTGAAATGTTGGCAAAGGTGATGGACTAGAAGTTAAAGGAATCTACTGTGCAGATGATCTTAAGCCTGAAGAGGTTCTGAAGTTTCAAGGGAAGTGGCACTAGTACTGAACCTTGTTAAGCACTCTGCAGTGACAGAATGCCACTTCCTATTACATCTGCACTTCAGCCTGGATGAGATGCAGTTTAAGTGAAATTGATTTCAGGCCAAGAAAACTAATGTCAAGAACCTGGAAAAGGAAATTGCCACCCATTATCAGATTTTCTTGAGGATAATTGAAAATTCTGTAGAACAATATAACACTGTCAGCAAACTGTTGCACGACAACTGACACACCCGCGGGGGCGTTGATCCCCGGAACTCTCTCCAGGTAAACTCCAGGTAAACACTACTGGATAGTGCCAAGTGACACTGCCTCCTAGAAAATGCCTTCTTCCATGGCCATCAGATCCAGCCAAAATTGATACCTCTCAAAGGTTCCTTAGGCAATTCATATTCACCTTGTATGTGATTTGTATGCAGATTTGAAAACTGGAACTAGATGCAAGCAAGACACATACGAAGTAACCAGGACATTTTCTTCATAAAATGTCCTAGTCATTGCGAATTTGTTTCATACAAACTTGTCGGTGTTAATCACTATTTGCAACATCACTTGCCTGCAACTGACTACACACTGTATTACCAAAAGTGCTGCAGCTGATGAAGAACATTAAGTCACAATACCGTGAATGGAACAGTTCATGACAAGCCAACATTCAGGAGAGGAACCCAAGTGCATGCTTTCGTGTTTTTGATGTGTTGTGGATGAATTTTAAATTTGGTTATCTGTTTAATATAAGTTTTACTGGGTTTATACCGAAACGTCGTCGTTATCTCTGCTGTCATATGTACGAGTTATTTGTATATTGTTCCAGTCACGGTAATGTGCTCTTTTGTTCTTGAATGTATTATCAGTGTGTAGTGTTTGTACACGCTGAAGGAAACCTCCCAGGCTGGTTCATATAGTGAAGTAGAAGAAATTATTGTTGTATATGCTCTCACTATGGGATTTCCTCTGATAAGAGGATAAATAGATTCACTGTACCTCTTTTGTTTCAGAACTACGCACTGCACCACATCTGTTTTATCACCATACAATATATCATTTTCATATTAGTACCACACACTGTGCACCTTCCATTGAAATGCTCAGAGTTAAAAATGTACAAACGTTTAAGTACCACACACCAGGCCCGGTGGCCTGGTGGCTAAAGCTCCCGCTTCACACACGGAGGGCCCGGGTTCGATTCCCGGCGGGTGGAAACATTTCGACACGTTTCCTTACACCTGTTGTCCTGTTCACCTAGCAGCAAATAGGTATCTGGGTGTTAGTCGACTGGTGTGGGTCGCATCCTGGGGGACAAGATTAAGGACCCCAATGGAAATAAGTTAGACAGTCCTCGATGACGCACTGACTTTCTTGGGTTATCCTGGGTGGCTAACCCTCCGGGGTTAAAAATCCGAACGAAATCTTATTTTATCTAACTCACTGTAGTTTAAGTAACACACTATAGTTTAAGTAACAAACACTGTAGTTTAAGTAACACACTGTAGTTTAAGTACCACACACTGTAGTTTAAGTAACGCACTGTAGTTTAAGTAACAAACGCTGTAGTTTAAATAACACGCACTAGTTTAAGTAACAAACACTGTAGCTTAAGTAACAAACATTGTAGTCTAAGCAACAAACACTGTAGTTTAAGTACCACACACTAGCTTAAATAACATTGTAGTTTAAGTACCACACTAGTTTAAGTACCACACACTGTAGTTTAAGTAACAAACATTGCAGTTTAAACAACAAACACTGTAGTTTAAGTGCCACACACTGTAATTTAAGTAACACACTGTAGTTTAAGTACCACACACTGTAGTTTAAGTAACAAACACTAGTTTAAGTACCACACACTGTAGTTTAAGTACCACACACTGTAGTTTAAGTAACACACTAGTTTAAGTACCACACGCTGTAGTTTAAGTAACAAACACTAGTTTAAGTACCACACACTGTAGTTTAAATACCACACACTGTAGTTTAAGTAACACACGCTGTAGTTTAAGTAACAAACACTAGTTTAAGTACCACACACTATAGTTTAAGTAACACACACTGTAGTTTAAGTAACAAACACTAGTTTAAGTACCACACACTGTAGTTGGTCACAGACCGGGCCGCGGGGGCGTTGACCCCCGAAACTCTCTCCAGGTAAGTATGTTCACTCGCTGTATTATATCTCATCACTCGCTACTGCACAGTTTTGCAACACCACGGCTTCACTACCACACCGCTACGTACCGGTAGTTTCAGCCCACACACGTAATTTAGTTTCAAAAGGTTACGTAAAACTAATATTTGAGTACCACGTACAATATTACCGTTTTAGTATTGCATGTATCATTACCGTTTAATACCACACATGTCACTACCATTTCAGTATCACACACGTCATGTGCCAGTATCACACACAATACGTATTAATACCGTGTCAGTATCACACACCTCGTATCAATACCGTGTCAGTATCACACACCACGTATCAATTCCGTGTCAGTACCACACACCACGTACCACTACAGTTTCAGTATGACACACACGTATCAATACCGTGTCAGTATCATACACAACACGCATCAATACCGTGTCAGTATCACACACAACACGTATCAATACCGTGTCAGTATCACCACAAACACGTATCAATACCGTGTCAGTATCACACACAACACGTATCAATACCGTGCCAGTATCACACACAACACGTATCAATACCGTGTCAGTATCACACACAACACGTATCAATACCGTGCCAGTATCACACACAACACGTATCAATACCGTGTCAGTATCACACACAACACGTATCAATACCGTGCCAGTATCACACACAACACGTATCAATACCGTGTCAGTATCACACACAACACGTATCAATACCGTGCCAGTATCACACACAACACGTATCAATACCGTGCCAGTATCACACACAACACGTATCAATACCGTGTCAGTATCACACACAACACTACCGTTTAAGAAAGCTACACCCTTCAAAATCGCTTAACAGGTCGAGAGAGCACCAACACCTCACTGTGATATTAACTTCACACTGCGGCAGCAGCAGCGGCGCATCGACGCCACTAACACTATACTCACCAGGTCCAGTACACGTCCAGCCAACTCAAGGCCAGCCCCAGCCACCACCCACAAGTTTCTCTAGCCTTTCACCACTTCACCCTGCCCCTGCTGTCACCACCACCACCACTCCAATCATCACAACACCCGCCACAGATACTCTATCTAATCTCTTATCAGATGATTAGGACCAGGATAAGACTGCAAAACTTGAAACCAATTACTGATAAACTTAACCACTGTGAAAGCAAAACAAACCACTGGAATGAGTTCTTACAATAAAGTATATATATGCAATGGTGTCCAATAAGTTTGAAACTAAGCGTATCGACTCGGGTATATACAGCAACAAGTGCGTGACAGTGAATGTTTCAAGATATCTACTTACAAAAATCTAATAGATTTCACTTGACTTCCACTTTACAAACTGTCATTTTTTTCCCATTCTATAACTTGTATTTTCATTTTCTTTTCCATCCACTTAAGACTGTTTCATTCCACACTACGTTACCGAATGTTGCAGGTGTTGACAGGTGGCAATACCTGCACCTGGGTTACCACTACAAAACAAGTTACATTCTTGAGAAGTGATAATTGCTCGTGAGATAAATGACGTGGGTATTATTATGATCACTTGTTATTATTATAATTATTGTCACTTTTTATTATCATCACTATTATTATTATTATTATTATTATTATTATTATTATTATTATTATTATTATTATTATTATTATTATTATTATTATTATTATTATGAATATTTCTTCAATTGCGGCCATGGAATTCGCCCCCAAAATTATGTTTAAACATTAAATTTAGGAACAATAAACTAAAAGAACAAGCTTAAAGAAACTAAAAGATACTATCTAGAACCTGGGAACCCTAGAACACCCGAGAGTACCAAGATGAGCTTTGCTATGCACTCGCGACTTGAAACAGAGGACAAAGACAAGCTTACTCCGTAGAATTTAACTGCCTTTCCAAACGTCAACTTCTCTCTCTCTCTCTCTCTCTCTCTCTCTCTCTCTCTCTCTCTCTCTCTCTCTCTCTCTCTTTCTCTCTAGCATAACACAATTATAAGCAAGATGTGTTTACAGGAGCCAGTTGGAAACTCTGCTTCAAGAGCTTCAAAGCTGCCACTTAAGAAAGTTTTACCTTCATGTTTCAGAGCGACGAAGCTTGAGCCCAGCTGCCAAAGACCCTTTGGTCCTGGAGCTGAATAGTGAAAATCTCATGCCAGTGACTCCAGAGACCCTTTGGTCCTAGACCTGAATGGTGAAAAACTGTTAACAATGGCTCCATAGACCCTACGGTCCTGGACCCGAATGGTGAAAATCTGTTAACATTGGTTCCAAAGACCTTATGGTTATAGACTTGAATGGGGAAAATCTCATACCAATGGTTCCAAAGACCCTTTGGTCTTTGGCTCTAACTGATGAACAACTGTTACCCGTATCTCCAAAGACCCTTTGATCCTGGACCTGAATGGTGAAAATCTGTTACCAATGGCTCCAAACACCCTTTTGTCCTGGACCTAAATGTTGAACTGACACTTATGTATAAAAAAAGGCGCACAAAAAGCTACAGATGAGAAAAAGTTTCGCTCTTTTGTCATAACAGACAACAGAGGCAGATTTTCTGATGTCAGAGAGAATTAGATTAGTCCTCTCCAGTCCTCAGAGCAGGTCGCTAATGCTTCTTGCAACTACTAGATCACTATGATACGGTCTTGGAGGCTCTGGAAGACAGACAGAATGCAGATGCAGTATACACATACTTTGCAAAAGCCTTAGACAAGTGCGATCATGGTGTAACAGTACACAAAATGCGTACTAAAGGGATAACTGGCAAAGTAGTGTAATGGATCTTCCACTTTCTAAGCAATCGAACACAAAGAGTAGTGGTAAACAGAGTTAAATCGTGAAAAGCTCTGTTTCACAAGACACCGTATTCTCCCCATCCTGTTCCTCATCCTCATATCAAACATAGAGATGTAATCCATAGCACCGAGTCTTCCTTTACTGACGTTACTAGGAACTGCATGAGACTGTCATCATTGAGGACACGGTTAACCTCCAAGAAGATATAACCAAGTTTTCCAATGGGCAACGGAAAACAATATGATGTTTAATGAAGACAAATTCCAATTCTCCGTTATGGAAAACTGGAGGAGATAATAACTAGAACTGAGTATACTACCAACTCTAGTCATACAGTAGAGCGGAAAGTAATGAGGGCCTGGGAGTGGTAATGTCTGAGGATCTCACTTTCAAGGATCACAACAGTGCCACTATCACATCTGCGAAGAAAAGGATAGGATGAATAATGAGAATGTTCAAATCAAGAGATGCCAAGCCACTGATGACTTTTTAAATCAGTTGTTCTCTCTATGCTGGAATATTGTTGTACAGTAACATCCCCATTCAAGGCAGGTGAAACTGCACATCTAGAGAGTGTACAGAGAACTTTTACTGCAGATATAAGTTCCGTCAAACACCTCAATTACTGGGAACGTTTGGAAGCACTTGACTTGTACTCACTGGAGCGCAGGCGAGAGATATATCATAATTTACACATGGAAAATCCTAGAAGCAATAGTACCTAATCTGCACAAAAATCACTCCTTACGAAAGCAAAAGACTGGGCAAGCAGTGCAAAATTCCCCCAATGAAAAGTAGTGGCGCCATTGATACAATAAGAGAAAACACAATAAGTGTCGGGGCCCAAGACCGTTCAACAGCCTTGCACCAATCATAAGGGGAATTACCAATAGACCCCTTGGCTCCCTTCAAGAGGGAGCTGGACATATACTTAAAGTCGCAGAAGCAACAGGAGCAACAATAACTACAGCAGGCAGCAACAACAGGCAGTAATAATAGCAACAGAAGCCGCAACAACTACAACACAACAGCACAGGAGCAGCAGCAACAATAACAACAGGAGTAGCAACAACAACAGGAGTGGCAACAGCCGGAAGTGGAACCATGTCCGCTCCTGAGTCTTTGAACGGGTGACTTTAATGAAAAAAGTTCAGGTGAGATCCTTAGAGAGAGAGAGAGAGAGAGAGAGAGAGAGAGAGAGAGAGGAAGAGAGATGAGAGAGAAGAGAGAGAGAGAGAGACAGAGAGACAGAGAGACAGAGACAGAGAGGACTGGCCAATATCCCTCACCATCACCATGGCTACACACCTCATCGCCAGTATTTTGTTTACAACAATAATCCGTCACGCTGTCGGTATTTATTTCTATTTCATCAATAAGTTAAAAATCCATCACTGAACAACTGAATTTACAATGAATATTAACTGCATCAAAAAATTCGTCCCGTGTTGTACAAATTCAGGCATGATTGATACAAATCATGTTCTTGACAAACGAGGGACATGTGTCTCAAGCAGCGGTAGATTAAACAAGTATCACCTAGGAACGTGTAGTGAACACAAGTTGAACTGGTGCTAGAAGGGTATTGGGTGTGTTGTGAGGCGGAGACGTTTCGGTGCGACAAAACGTGGGGGAAACGTGTAGTGGGTAGAGTGGAACGTTTAGCGAGAGTGGTGGGCGTGGTGTCGACCGTGTCGTCAGCCGCCAGCAAGTGGCAGCCAGCCAGAAACGTTTTGCGAGTGCGGTCGAGGGAGGTGTAACCAGCACAAACGTATCGTCTTGTTACCAGCTGGCTCATGATATAAAAAGCTGAGCTTCACCGCTCAAAATAACCTGTGAAGCTGATACGATAAACACCTTGATAACGAAGCTCAAGCCGTAGCCACTCTCCACTGAAACTGAATTATTGATACCGACAGCATTATAAGTGTGCTGGAAAGTGAATTAAGGCATTGTGAAATACTGTGAATACAATAATTGTGGCAAAAAAACTTATTGTGAAACGATTTACACTAAAGTGATAGAATTGTAACAGTATCTAACTGGTTATTGAACCAAAAAACAAAGCCTGAAACGCAACACCCTGTGGGTACTGCCTCTCCCCTGGGCTTCACCTGTCTCCACCACCACAGGTAAGGTACCCCGACTCTCGCTCAAGCACTAGCTGGCACTTCGCTCCCATTCTCCAAGGCACTGTATGACCCCAGCGGATTTAGCGCTCTACCTGTAACTCCCTTTCTTGCATCCCGTCCATCACTATGCAAGATATTCTTTTATTTTGAGATATTTATTTCTTGTAATTTAGTATACCTCTCTGTCCATTTTTTCAGTACTGGGATAAAATTTACAGGTTCAGGTATTTTGTAGTCTATTGTGCAATAAATTTCTCCGTACCATGGGGTATTGTGTGAAGAGAGAGATAGAGAGAGAGAGAGAGAGAGAGAGAGAGAGAGAGAGAGAGAGAGAGAGAGAGAGAGAGAGAGAGAGAGAGAGAGAGAGAGAGAAGAGAGAGAGAGAAGTTTATTTTAGGTACAGGTACAACATAATACAATTAACATATATAGTAAATTTCGTAAATTACCTAGGATAACCCAAAAAAGTCAAAGTGACTTTATTTCCATGAGAGAGAGAGAGAGAGTGAGAGAGAGAGAGAGAGAGAGAGAGTTGGCTGGCAGCCCACACCATAACATCACTGCTCATACCAAGGTCAAGCACGTGTTTGTTTACCAGTGTTTTAAATTATTAAGCTTTAAGCTTACAGTAGAATAATTCACAATAAAACCCACAATAAGGGAAATAAAGCCAAGATGATTCTTCAAAAGTATGATTTTTTTTTAAATTAATTTTCATTCAATTTGTTATAACTTGCTTTGTTCGGTACAATAATATTTAAAAGTTTTTATTAACGTTAGCTTAAAAAAGTATTAATTCGTATATATTTTCCACCGTCATGAATGGTACGATACGTGACGTAATCTTTGCCACAAGCCGCAGTAGATTAGATAAGTTACACCTGAGAATTTGCACTGAACGAGAGTTGAACTGGTACGTTCGGGCGGGTTGCGTGTGATGTCGTCAGCCAACGGTCGCCAGCAGAGAATCGATCGGTGGTGCGCGAAACATGAGTGAAACGTGTAGTGAGGGTGAAAGGTTTTGCGGCCGAGGGACGTTGAGGAGGACAAACACGTAACGTGTTACGAGGCTGGATAGTGATGTAAGACCCTGGAGGCTCCGGTCATCATATGACTAAGACCCGCTTCAGGAAACACTTGTCCGCTTCCTGACAAACCTTACCTAACCTAACCGTACTCTCAACATTATACCCTACAAGGTGATACGATACACTTCTTTATTTTCAAGCACAAGCGAGTGATACAGCTGTAATTGATACCGAAGAAAGTATAATACTGTTATTATCAAGGAAACCGTATTAGTACATATAAGCTGTGAGAGTGAGCCCAATACACTGATTGTGAAAGTGAATGAGTACACTGACTGTCAAGCAATTCAGGGTTAAAGTGAATGCGACTTGCACTAAACTGAAGTGATAACAGTGTGCCTCTTAAAATATACACACTGATTCTTCTACTAAATAATCGAAACCCTTACACAGAAACGCTTGTGAGCAGGCAGCTTCACCTGCTTCTGCCACAGTAACGAATGCTGCCTGCCTCTTACTCCTACACTTCCTGCCATTATATTTTCTGCTGCTGTTGACCCTTCCACTGCTACTGCTGCTGTTCTTTCTTCAATCAAGCAGCATTATTTTTTTTTTGTTTGATGACTGAAACGGGCCTTCCTGACCTGGAAGTGCTTGTCAGCAGGAAATGTATCATGACCAGGTCGAGCTTTGTGACATCAGATACATGAAAGAGGCTGTGTGTTGTGCAGCAGCTCAGCATTAGTGACCCTCTTGCAGTCGATATTCCTTCAACCCAGCGCTCTGAAAGGCCATTTGATGGATATTCCTTACAAAATAACTCACTATAGGGACTAGGTCACAGATATCCTCCAGCATAACACACTGAAAAGGCTCTGTGATTGATATTCCTGAAAAGGCCATGTAACAAATATTTCTTCAACTTAAATCACTGAAAAGCCATATAAAAGATATTCCTTCAACCTAACAATCTGTTGAAGGCATGTGACATATATTCCTTCATCATATCACACAGAAGAGGCCATGTGATATGGCGTTATGATGCTGGTTTCTGACATTTATTTTCATGTCATTGTGAATTTTTCAGAACTAACGAACTTTGTTTATTGTCAGTTCTGTAGATTCAATGTGTCGTTTTCTCAAATTACTCTGTAAAACGATACCTCTTTTTCTTTCATGCTTCTTCCATTATGAACTCTTTGGCTCCTTCCTGCTGTTATCTCAATGTACCCCACTCCCAGTTTTTTTGCCAAAGCTGCAGCCCTCGGGCGCCCTTCCTAACTCCCAGACCAGACTGTTGTTCTCTAGCCATTAAGGCATTCTTAAAGCACTATGTTGATCCATCACTAACTAAAAGTAACTAATCAAATGTACCCTATTACATACATCAGTTTTACCCAAGCAGAATTTGCCTTATGTGTAGATATACTAAAAAAAATATATGCAATTCTTATTAATGGAGGAGATAAAACCAAGACTTAAAAACAACAGCTGGATCTTCCGTTATAATCCCAGCAGATAATGGACGATAAGTATGCTGAGTTACACACTGTACGAATTTAAAAGCTTATATCATCACATTTCAACTTAAGTGGATGATAGTGCTGGAGCAACATCACAATGCCTGTACAGTATATACAGTCTGCGTGGAACGTTATAACACAGGATGCAGGACGAACTTTTGATCAACGAAGCATATAACAATGGATGGTTGAAGTCCGGAGTTTCACACATGAAATGAAAATGGGGGGGGGGGGGGGAACGGTGCTCCAAGAGTGGCCTCGTCCACCTTCGGGTCGAACTCTGCACTATGTCCAACGTAGCTCAGATGATAGCGCATGTGATGGATAATAATGTTAGGAGAGGACAGTGTTTCGTGCTTCTTGTCTGCTCCAGAGATGGAGCAGCCGTGAAGCAGAAAACAAAACACTGTCGTCATCTGACATTATCATCCATCACATGTGCCATAATCTGAGTATCATTGATTATAGTGCAGAGTTGGATCAAAGACGGATGAGGTCACTTTAGAAATTGCATGGCTTTCCCTCCTCACAATCGGTGTATGAGTTGTTCCCAAGATTTCTAGAGAGTTTAGACTTCAATCATCTGCTGCCTTATGCCGCAATGATCAAAAGTTTGTCCTGCAGCTGCCGTCGTGACCTTCCACACAGACTCCATGTACTGAATGTATGTATACCTGACCAACCGGGCTCTGGTTCGTACGTTAGTTTGCGTGTGGCCAGCAGTAACAACCTGGTTGATCAGACCCTGATCCACCATGAGGCCCGGTCTCAGACCGGGCCGCGGGGGCGTTGACCCCTGAAACCCTCTCCAGGTAAACTCCAGGTAATACCAAATTCCACTAACAGTGATCGTTCTTATTACAGAGGACGCGGAGAGTAATCAGAGGAGCATCAGTGAGACATATGGGCATCATGGATCTGCAACAGTGCATTAACCGTGCCATCAAGACCACGGGGCGAGACACTCTGGCTCTTGTCTACAGTGAATTGTGAGTCCATGTTCACCACCATCACTGTCACCATCACCCTAGCACAATTATTAACACCACTGTTTTTATAAGCATTATTAACCTTATTACTATCATCATCACCACTCTACTATCATAACCACCATCATCACCACACTACTATCATAACCACCATCATCACCACACTACTATCATAACCACCATCATCACCACACTACTATCATAACCACCATCATCACCACACTACTATCATAACCACCATCATCACCACACTACTATCATAACCACCATCATCACCACACTACTATCATAACCACCATCACCGATACTATCGCCATCACTAGCGCTGATGAAGGCAGAAATAGTAAGGTGATCATATAATAGACAAAGGGCTCTTGATCCATAAAATTGGAACTACCATTCCCTTCCTGATACCAAACCAAATTACCTTAAATCACTCAGGTACTGTATGAGACTCACAATTTTAGCACTTTCCCACGACTTATATAAATTATGTACTAACTGGCGACCTCGTTTTGGTCATATACTCTAATTAATGCTGTAGAATTGATCCTTCATATTCTTCATTCTCTAATCGCGATACAGTCTCACTACCAGTCATTATAATTTCTAATGAAACTCAGTGGTTATACATACTGAAAAATGCAAGTCTGTCAGTGTATATACACTGAGAGTTTAAGTATCTGACTGGTGGTGTATAGGTGACATGTAGCACTGACCCACGTGTTGTCGATAGGATTTAAATCTAAAAATACCATCACTAATATGCATATTGTGTTCCTCTGCAGGTTCCCAAAGACCCACCCTGGTAAGACTCCCTACGAGGTCCTCATAACCAACACCCAGGCCAAGGAGAGACTCTCCCGCAACCCCTTACTAGAAAAGACAATCAGAGAGAACAATGTGGATAAGTTTGATGTGACGACACTCTACTTGTTATTGCGTTTTTCTTGTGGTCTCTCATCCAAAATGGACGCTTGGAAGAACCCTTCACGTTTAGAAGGTAGGTGGTGATATAATTGTAACATGCCGAATATTTCAAGACGATGCTGGGCCAGTACCTGCAGGATATACCACATGAACTATCACAGCCTGGCTGGTGTGGTATATCTTGTGTGTACTGTAAAGCTTTCTTCTGAAAACTTCAACATATTGCAATTATTTCAAGGGTGTAATACTCCTTGAAATATCAGAATAAGTTACATTGACAGTATGGGTAGTGGAGACAAGTTTGGTTTTCAGGGCAGGTGCTTGACGACATGTTTTGTGTTCAGGGTTGGTGTTCAAGACAGGTTTTGTTGTCATGGTGTAGATATGTTTGGCCTTCAAGGTGGGTACTGAAGATAGGTATGGTCATCGGAGCGGGTACTGAAGATAGGTATGGTCTTCAGAGTGGGTACTAAAGATAGGTATGGTCTTCAGAGTGGGTACTGAAGATAGGTTTTGTGTTCAGGCATGCTGTAGGTGCCTTAAGGAATTTAGTTAGTCGAAGATTTCCTTGATCTTTGCTCCTGGTGGCTCTTAAAAGTTATAATTTATAAATTTTCTTTAATTAGCATCATCAGCTACACTGCAGTGTGTGCAAACCTCTTTACCAAACACTTAAATAATTACAACAGGACAATAAATACGACATGACTGGAATATTCTTTCATATCTGCATTTTAACCAGTTATATATTTTTAGGCATAAGCCATTATACTAATAGCTCTCAATTTTCCCTAAGGTGAGTTCGTTACTTACCAAAATAAACATTACATTTGCAGGTAACATTGACAAGCTGAGGAGGCTGCGGAATGCAGATGGTCACTGGACAGAAAATGGATCTGAAGATGACCCAGAGGACACCTGGGATGCGCTGGTCGAGGCTATCATCAAAATCGTCATGCTGGGCGGCTTTAGGGCTTACCTGTCCAAGATCATGATGGAACTAGCGGACTTAAGAAGAACTGTCCCTAACAGGGAGCTAGTACACATCATTCCTAAGAAGAAGGATGTACTAAGTGAGTATCTGCAGTACAGTGACAATGTCTATGGACTTGATCAGAAGGATGGGGAAGGGGGGATAATTTGTAGATTTCTCTTTTGGCTTATGTATTATAATGAAACAGAAGTTACTTATTTCAAATTTAGCAATTTTTTTCCGTTGAGTGAAAAATATTCTTCCAAAATAAGAATCTTTGCCACTACTCTAAGATGTTAATTCAGTCTTTTCTTAATTTTTTTTTTTTAATTTGTCCACTTTAAAAGCTTATTCAACATTTGCAAATTAAATAAACAATCCACTGACATTAACAATATTGTCTATTAGTTTTTCCCTAAAATATTTACTTTTGTGGAAGACAAAAATTATTATTATATATAATATAATATATTCACAAATTTGTATTAACGTTCCTTGAAACAAAATTTAAGATCATAATTTTTCTACTTACCCTGGCAGCTGTAACAAGGTGGTTTATTACTGGAATCTCAAATATTATTTTCGAATAGCAATATTACACCTTTTGCCAGCAGCTCAGCTCCATAACAGTGAAGTATGATTTAGAAACCTTTTAGTCTGGTTGACTCTGGCCTTCGATTCACAGTTTTCTTGTTAGCTTAGCAATGTTAAAACACACACACACACACACACACACACACACACACACACACACACACACACACACACACACACACACACACACACACACACAACGAGGTCACAATTGGAAGTTGAAGACTCAGATGAATCAAAGGGATGTTAGGAAGTATTTCTTCAGTCATAGAGTAGTCAGGCCATGGAATAGCCTAGAAAGTGATGTGGTGGAGGCAGGAACCATACATAGTTTTAAGGCGAGGTATGATAGAGCTCATGGGGCAGGGAGAGAGAGGACCTAGTAGCAATCAGCGAAGAGGCGGGGCCAGGAGCTGTGAATCGACCCCTGCAACCACAAATAGGTGAGTACAAATAGGTGAGTACAAAGCTGTGATCATTCCGGTAGAAAATCAGTTTTCTTTACTGATACAACAAATGACCTGAATGCTATATACAAATGATAAAGGAAGAGTTTGCATCCCTTTCAGAGAGCGTCCAGAAAGAGCTTCTTGAGACTTACAAGAGGAAACAAAAGACAACACTCATGCCCCTTGTGTGGGGCGGAAGAAACTTCAGTTTTCATCACCATGTTGATGAGACTTATACCAGAACCAGACTTACACAGCTCAGCTGTGGGTGAGTACAGTCTTCTGAGAGCACATGATCTAATGCTTCTGTCAAAGATAATCGGCTGCAATCACTAGTCAGAGACCAGGATGCATTTAGCGTGTACATCAGCTTGTATACTCGCTAGTATTCGGTAAAGTAGCATGTACATCAGCTTGTAAAAGCTACTGCCAGATGGAGGACTGAGTCTCTGCATGTCATTGTACCAAAATGACCCACATGGGTGTAGTTTTCTTTAAATACAATAATAATATACAATGTGAGAGATAAACCCTGTATAACATTCACAGTAAAAATGTGGCAAGCTTGCACCTGTACTAAAACAAAATCAAATTAAACACAATTAATATATTAATGTGCAACTTACCAACAACAATACTAAGTCCAATCAGTTACGTAATGCATTAACAACATTATGACTTTTGAACTGTGATGAGCATATTGCGAAAGCATTTGGAATTAATCATTATTGTCACATTGCATTCTTGCAAAGTGTGTTATTTAAAAAAACTTAATTGATTAATGCTTTTGAATTTTGATCTTTAGGATGGTGATAGAAATGGATGGAGACACCATGTTGGAAAAAATTGGGTCATCGAGGATGATAATACTTCAGGGAGAGACTGGCACAGGCAAGACCTCTCTCCTCCGCCACTATGCTGCCTCCTGGGCTGCCAACACACACACTAACATTCCAGGTCTCACCAGGGTGGAATACCTTGTTTTTCTAGACTGTACAGCAGTCGCTAAGAGAACCTTCACACTCTCTGATATAATTCAAGAAATTCTCCCAAACACTTACAACATTAGCAAACCCTCAATCATTCTCAAGAAGCTGTCGGAAGCTCAGGACAAAGTGATGTTCTTGATTGATGCCTTCGATGAAAGGCTTGAGGCCTTCATGAATGCTTTCAAAGACCTTCAGAAGAAGTGTTCAAAGGCCCTCTTTGTGGTGACAACGAGGCCCCATTGCACAGTGTCTGTTACTAAATTGTGCGAAGAGACGCCTGTGGTGGTGACGGCCCACGGCTTCAGTCGCTCAAGTGCCTTTGACTTTGCTACTAAACTCTTCAAAGCACAATGTAAAGACAACGTAAAGGAGTTCTTCAGTGCTGTCTCACCATATGAGGAACTGATAGCTATTCCACAGCTCTTGTGCTGGTCGGGGGAGTAGCCCCCCCCCCCCCCCCCCCCCCCCCCCCCCCCCCCCCCCCCCCCCCCCCCCCCCCCCCGTGGGGCTCTTCCTTCGTTTTGGATGGAAGGAAGGCATGATTTATCTTACACTGAGAGGAAAGTTTTTGCCAAAATAACAGATTTTTTTTAAGAAAAACTAAGTCACTTCAATGGGCAAAAGAATCATTGCTGGACGCATTGCCAAAAGAAGGACTGCGTGGCTGTGTGTTGTGGCATCGTGTGGCCTTTTCACAAGCCAGATTAACCATACATCCACTTAGTGAAAGTTCCAGTGTTATTCAATAAACTGATAGTAATGTGCCAAGCAGCTCAAATTTGTCCAATTTGAGGCACTTTCTTCTCTCATGCAATGTGATATTTACATGAATGAAAAAGGTAGAATACATTGTTTGTCAGTTGTTCATAACGCTCCTTGCCTACGTTTGCTTGCAGCATACATCATTTCAGAAAACTCTTCGGAACAGCAGAAACTGGAACACGGACAAGTCTTTTTCGGAATTTCCAGGGAGGATAGAAGTATCTATTATTTTATTTCTTGCAAAGCCTTCTGTTTAACAGGGACGAAAACGTTCAATTACCTGATGATTAAAGATATAGCAAATCTTCCCGGGCATATGTAAACTTTTATGATATTAATTTCCTTCTGAGTACTCATAGAGGTGGAGTAGTACAACATGTCTCATTTAAGGGCTCTGGCCAATGGGAAATGTTTGGTGGCCCAAGTGCCACTTCACTGGGCTTACAACTGCTTCAAGTCATCAGCCAAATACTTGTTTTATGGTAATACTGTGGCTACGGGACCAAAGGAACTTCGTCGTGCTTAAAAGCGCTTGCGTTTGTTTCTTTCACAGCATAAACCACAGAGATCATCCTTCGGCTGTGTGGAAGGTCCTCATGCAGGATTAAGAGTTTCTAGTACGTGGCCACACTCGCGTTACTGGAGGGAGATGCTGTAGCAGCGATGTCTTTGTAATAAATGCCTATGGTGATTGCTGCGTTCCAAATCTGAGGGTGGCTGATGTGACCCATATCTGCCTTCTGTCCTGGCCCAAAATCTATGGTGGTTATCACTAGACAGGTGTCATATCAAATATACCTTTCACCTTCCTTCTAGACTGAAGAAGTTAACTATGACAGAATGCACTGGTTTGGAATACATAATTTTCCCCAGTAGCCTGAAAAGTGTAAAACTTCAGAGCATGATTCTAGAAAAGCAAACTCTGCCATCTACCATTGAGACTATTGTATTAGGAGAATGCAAATTCAAGAACCTGGCTTTCTTACCATTGAATGTTAAAAAACTGAAAGTAAATGACTGTGTAGTACAAGAAAACTTAAATTTTTCAATTTTGCCAAAAGAAACTCCAAAAATAAATATTTCAAGGTACTTTAAGACAGGAAGCAGCACGGAGATAATATTAGCTGTTGCACAAGTTGTCTCCTCCTTACGACATCTGCAAAGTCTTAGCATCACCGATGATGATTTGTCGCCTGAAGCTTTCATCAACTTCTTCTTCGACTACCATGAGAAAAGACCAAGGGCACGGCTAGGGGTGGAGAGTTTGTGTAAGCTGACCAAGGATAGTAGTATGGCTAAGTTGATTGCTTCTGCCATTATGGCCTCAAGTGTCCCCGTCACTGTCAAGTTCGGAGACAATATTATCTCCAACCTTTGTTCTACATATGGATGAGCCTCTACGCAGTGTAACTTCACTAACAAGACTTGAACTTTCGCATAATGTGAGACCAAGAAGACTTGCTCTCTAAACGTGAGAAATCCAGTCTCTTGTGTTGGTCCAAGTTTATAGCTGACCCATCAGTGGGGTCTTGACAGCCAAATCAGATCTTTCCACATCTCTTGTGAATTTGTCAATTTTCGCGTGTGGACAGGTCTTTGTAAATGGGAAAATTATGTAGGGAATGAGCAGCGCAAGTTCAACAACTTGACTGTCAGTATTAGTTTCAAGCTTGATAAGACGAGGTCCTCATATATACGTATATATAGACCATCTTACACTATCAAGAACATTTCATTATTAACTCACAATTTGGAGAGGAAGCTTTAGATGACGTTACACTTCAGTTCATCCTGAACCACTAAATCACTTCAAATTACCGAAGCATCGTGGAAAGGTTTCTCACCAAATTGTGGGTTAATTGTGAATTATTTCAGCTATGGTATTGTGACTTTTTATATCAAGACCTGAGAATGATTTACGCTTAGAAAAGTTACTTTTATAAGTGCAATGATTTCATGTATCAATTCAACAAAGGATTTCACATGAAGCAGAGTCTCACTCGTTGAACTATGATTACTGTTGGCTTTATGTTTATGTATCAAAAGAGAATATATATATATATATTATATATATATAATATATATATATATATATATATATATATATATATATATATATATATATATAATATATATATATATATATATATATATATATATATATATATATATATATATATATATATATATAATATATATAATGAGAAATGCTATTAAGTTTATTTGTGATATTCCCTTTGTCAGGGGAAAAAAATCACCAGAGCTTTGTCGTGATGACCCGTTCAGTGGTGCCACGTACCTTTCAGCAGGGAGTGGCAGGTAAATGCTGGTGTGCATTACTGTAGGTGGTGTCTGCTAACATAGATGAAAAATATGGCAGCTGATAACCCTATGGCATGGGTAATGCGAGAAGCAAATATATGATGTGTGGTGCCATAGATGATTGAGTTTTCTAGTAAATATAGCAGATGTTGGCCCTTCGTCAGACCGAGTGCCTGGTGACTGAATGGCTATGCTCACTGGTTTAAACTCATCTGTGATATTCAGTACCTGTTACCACACATTTATCTTAATTATTTATTATATTTTTAGTATCATCACATGAAGTTATTAACAATCTATCTGTACAATGTACATATCTTCGCATCGTTTTCTAAATAAAGAGATAGAACTTAGCAGTATGTGTCTTGATAGCCTTGTGTTATGTGTAAATAGCCTTGTGCTTGTGTTACTTATGTTGCGGGTGTTGTATGCTTTCAAGAGGTGCTTTTGGAGCCTTTATACAAGAATTACCAAAAGCACCTCTTGTGTTACTTGTCAACTGATAACCAACTTTTACAATAAAGATATGTTAAAAAGGCAATAACTTTGTGACTGTGCACACAGATATATGAAGTGTTTCTCTGAAAAAAATCTAATAAGTACTAATTGTATAAAGCAGGAGCTTAAGGTGGTTGTTGCTTTACGTGTGTGAAAATCCTGAGCTCGAGATGCAGACCATAGAATTTTCTGCTCAAACCCATGCATACACAAGGTGCAGACCAAAGTAGAAAATTTCATCATTTTTAAGACGAACTGAATGGAGAAGGAAAAGAATGATGGATGTATTTTCTGCAGGAAGCGCCCTTGCTGGCCGCTTCTTTTGAATGTATTTGCTTCAAACTTCTCTTTTCTGATGTTTTGATTGCAACACAAAAGGCCTAGAGCTATCATTCAACTCCCCCTGTGGTTGTTTTGCACACACACACACACACACATACACACATACACACACACACACACGCACACACACACACCTGTGTGTGAGTATAACACCGAGCATATCTCCTGAGGCGCACATCAATCAGATAACTGCTGCAGCATACGGGCACCTGGCAAACCTACGGATAGCGTTCCGATACCTCAGCAAGGATTCGTTCAAGACTCTGTATACCATCTACGTCAGGCCCATACTGGAGTATGCAGCACCAGTTTGGAATCCACACCTAGTCAAGCACGTCAAGAAATTAGAGAAAGTGCAAAGGTTTGCAACAAGACTAGTCCCAGAGCTACGGGGATTGTCCTACGAAGAAAGGTTGAGGGAAATCGGCCTGACGACACTGGAGGACAGGAGGGTCAGGGGGGGAGACATGATAACGACATTTAAATACTGTGCGGAATAGACAAGGTGGACAAAGTGGGATGTTCCAGAGAAGGGACACAGTCACAAGATGGTCACAATTGGAAGTTGAAGACTCAGATGAATCAAAGGGATGTTAGGAAGTATTTCTTCAGTCATAGAGTAGTCAGGCCGTGGAATAGCCTAGAAAGTGACGTAGTGGAGGTGGGAACCATACATAGTTTTAAGGCGAGGTATGATAGAGCTCATGGGGCAGGGAGAGAGAGGACCTAGTAGCATTCAGCGAAGAGGCGGGGCCAGGAGCTGTGACTCGACCCCTGCAACCACAAATAGGTGAGTACAAATAGGTGAGTACACGCACACACACACACACACATACATACACACACACGCACACACACATACATACACACACACGCACACACACACACACACACACACACACACACACACACACACACACCACACACACACACACACACACACACACACACATATATATATATATATAATATATATATATATATATATATATATATATATATATATATATATATATATATATATATATGATGGTACCCTAGCTGGCATAACAGAATATCTCCTAGAGGACATCAGTAAAATTAAAGACATGGGAGAAAGCCTGGGCTTTTCTTTAAACCTCACCAAATGTGAAATAGTTTCTACCAATCAACAGATGATCCAGAATATTAGCGCCGTTTTACCAGGAGCATGAGCCATTGATCCAGCCAATAGCACTCTCCTTGGTGCTCCTCTTGGGTCCAATGCCATCGATCTGATACTAGAAAAAAAAGTCTCAGACCTCCGGACGATAGAAAGCAGGATGAAAGACACTGACACACATGATGCCTTCTACCTACTCACCAGGTGCCTGTCAATCCCAAAACTTACCTACTTCCTGAGATACTCCCCAGCCTTCAGCAGTCCAAAACTCAAGGAATATGACTCTCTCCTTAAGACCATGCTAGAGAGTGCATTGAATCTTTCCCCTGAAGATGGACAGTGGTTGCAAGCCTCACTTCCGGTCAGGCTTGGAGGGCTAGGAGTACGCAGATCCTTCAAGATTGATCTACCAACTTTCCTATCCTCTTCCATAGCATCAAATGAGTTGATAAGACAAATTCTTACTGATAACCTCAGTGACTCAGCAGGAATACAGGACCCTAGCTATGCCAGTGCCATCACTGAATGGGAGACTCTTCCTACTCCAGCAATAAACCCTAGTGCAGCACTGGCTCACAGTCAAGCTGGGATGGCCCGATCACTGAAAAGGTGCTTGCCAACATGCTCAGGGCTGCAACATCAGATAGGGAGACTGCCCATCTCCAGGCTGTGAGCGCACATCACTCCGGGGACTTCCTCCAAACAGTTCCCTTATCCGCAATGGGAACACGACTCGACCCTAAGACCCTCCATATTGCAGTGGCTCTGCGCCTTGCTGCCCCAATTCACACAGAATATACGTGTATTTATCATGTGGGAGTTCGATACGTGGATTAGGGTAGAAATACTCACGTAGGCTGTTATACGTATAATTACTGATATGTGGACAGAGCCCGCCAGCCGTACCTATCTCCTTGCTTCCACTCGTAACACTGACTAGCCGGCTGGCCAGTACCCCGTAGTGGGTGTTTTGAAATAGTGTCAGCTCAGCACAATATGAGTTGAATCAACGGACGGTTACGGTAACTGGTTACTAGACTGGTAACTGGTTACTACTACTGAGAGCTCGGCGACGCTAACGTATGTCGTCTCGACATACAACTAATACAAACTAGAGATGGCAGGTACGGCTTGGGCTGATTCTATACAATGTCAAAGTACACAACATTAACATTATAGATACATAAGTAGAACATTGGAATGAAAGCTTACGTAACTGAACTATAATGCAATACAAGGTATACTATAGTACAACTTAAAACTCAACAAATGAACAACGAACTCAACATTGAGATTACAAGTGATAAAAACAAAATTTTGATCGATCGATCTGTATTCATGTGATCTACGGATTCTGAGGAAGGAATATATACAAAGAAAGAGTGTTTAACAGAAAGGCAGATTCGGTGCACGCAAATCTAGACTGTTAACTCTCAGAATGCGGAGAGAACATGAACACAAAAAAAAAATTCTTGAATACTGATAAGTTGATCCTTAATTATTCATCTATACAGGTTATTTACATTTAACCCCAACTCTGCTAGGGTAAGATTGGCATATGCAGAATGGGTGTCATCTCTGGGAGGATCAAACTCTGTAGCATTGGCTAACTCATGCTGTATTTGAGGCAAATCTGAATTGGAAGTTACAAATGATACTTGAGGATTTCTCAATACCTGTCGTGTACGTAGGGAATAACGACATTCAGGTTGATCATCTGACTGAGTATCAGAGGAAGAGAGTACAGGATCAGGAGGATTGTCAGAGTCTGTCACATTAGTCTGGGTTGGAACATCATTATCGTCACATACTAACTTCATATGATCCAAATGCGATTCTTTATACTGACCAGTACTAATCTCTCTAACCTTATACTTATTTCCAGTGATATGTTCAACTACTCGATAAGGACCAACAAACTTTTGATCAAGCTTTGGCATAGCAGACGTTTTGTTAAAATTAGTCAGCATAACTCTCGAACCTACTTTGATTTGGATGGCTTTACTCGAGTATTTGCGACTCTTGTAAATTCAGCTGTTGATTTATGAAGTGTTTCACGGATTCTTCTAAAAACACTTTGAGCTAAGCTGGTACGAGTTGCTACGAAATCATCAGGGTTGTAATTTGGTTTCGGATTTAGAATTTTAACAACTCATAAGGCAAACGTTTATCTACACCATACAGTGCATAATGTGGAGTGTCACCTATAGAAACATTGTAAGCAGAATTTATAGCACACTGCACATCAGGTATAACTTCATCCCAAGTTTCACTATTGGGATTGATAGTGGCTCTCAATACATCAAGTACTTTCTTATTGGTTCGTTCCGCTAACCCATTGCTGGCAGGATGATGAGGAACAATGGTGGATTTAGTGATCTTATACAAGGTACACAAATTTTCAAGAATTTCATTACAGAATTCACCTCAGTTATCTGTTACTAGGGACTTAGGGGTGGTATGCCTGCAGATAATGCGTTCCCTTAAACGCTTTTAGCTACTGTCTCGGCAGTCTTATCTGCAATAGGAACTAACTCGCAATATCTGGTGAAATGGTCTACCATAAAAACACAGAAGTTTGTTACCTTGGAGGGAACATCGGAAATTAGTTAACAAATCTAGCGCAAACTCTTCCCAAGGTTCGCTAGTAGTTGGATACACTTGGATTGGATTAGGACCATTAGCATTGCCTTTATGTTGCATGCAGACACTACATTTCCTAACATACTCAGAAATATCAT